AAGCCACAAACGCTTGTTCAATAAGCTGTGGCGCATGCCCCTGAAAACCACAAAATTATTTTATGATTCCCTAGCAAATGCACTGATCCTTAAAGTGATCTCATACTTTCACATAGTTAATAACTCTGATTTATTAGTTGTAAAGTCTTTTGAAATGGCTTTAAGTTTGAAAACTTGAGATCCTACCTTTACGACTTATTTGAGAACTTGGTAAATTTATTTTTACCTTAATCCAACTCTTAATTAATTGAGAATTGGAGGTAATCATGATTTGAGAAGGAGGATATTGCACTTATCTAACGTAATTTTTTTTTTTGCAAAATTATATTTTTAACCTGCAACAAAATAATAAAAAGTATAGTTATTAAAACCTAAACTAAACTTGTTAATAGCAAAAGCAAAACTGTTAATATAAAAAATGTAGTTGTTACTTGTTAGTTTAATAATGCAATAACAAGTATGATGCTTGCCTTAACAACTTTAGCATAATAATTGATAACTTCAGTTTATGTGTTAACAATATAACTGGCCATACTTTCATTTTAGTTATGCAATAACACCTACTCCATCCGTTCAAAAATGTAAAGTATTTTTTGAAAAGTTAGGTGTTCATAAATGTAAAGCATTTTTAGTCTTTCAAAGTGTAATCATTGTTTTTTTTTTAAAGTACCCCTATTGATGAATGACTTTATATTTATTGTAGGGTATTTAATAAAGGTAAATATGAAAAGATATGGTTAGTTTGAAAGTAAGTAACTATTTTATTAAGGGATGAGATTCGATTAAAAATGCCTCACATTTTTTAATGGAAGGAGTATGTTTTATATATTAATATCTTTACCTTTGTTATTAACAACTTCAATTTAAATTTTAATGACTACGCTTTGTATTATCAAAAATGTAATTTCACAATATTAGAGAAGTCCTTAGAAACTGTAGAATAATTTTCTCATTTCGTAGTACTCTTTGTTATTATTTGTCTATTTTAAAAAAAATTTATTTATCATTTTCCCTAAATTTTAAAAATCATAAAAATTATTTATAGAGAAGTTGAATCCAAACTTTAAGAGGATGATTATATTTTGTGTGGGGTGTGAAATAAATAACCGACCTTCAAATATATCGAAGGCATCAGGAGGATATCGAGACTCCATCGCAAAGAAAAGATCACTGCTAGTTTCATAATATAAACTGGGGTCCACAACTATTTGATTCAGATCTCTTTGCCTGCATCATCAAAGCATATCTTTTCATTATTTTACGTATAATCAATTAAATTCTATAATATAATTCTTGAATAAATCTAATGCCTCTTCACTTATTTTTTTTCCCCTGCGAACTTGATGGGTTAGTGACTTAGTTGAGCATTTTATGATCAAGATGATATCATATACATGATTTGAGTGAATATGTGAATGATTACAAGCAAAAAGAAAGTAGTGTTTATTTTAATGATAATGAATCAAAAATAATAATTATCCTTGAAAAACAATTTTTCTTTTAATTTGTTACTAAAAAAATCATCTTTTTAATAAGTAATGATTGGGTTAAATTATAAATAACTTAATATGAAGATCAGGGGTCCATAACCCCCTAATATAAACTATTATTAAAAGCTTTAACACCTATTCATGCACAAAGCACAGGTTAATTTTAAGTTACTCGATAGTTTTTGAGCGGAAAAAAATCTCCATATAAAAAGATGTTGCCAATATAAAACTAAAATGAACATGTGAATGATTACAAGTAAAAAAGAAAGTAGTGTTTATTTTAATGATAACAAACCATAAGTAATAAATATTCTTGAAAAACATTGTTTCTTTTGATTTGTTACTAAAAATTCATTGGATTAAATTGTAAGAGACTTAACCTATAATCACCTATTTGTAATGAGGATTAATGATCCAAGTCCTCATGACATAGACATAGACTGTCACTAAGAACCCTCAAACTTATACATTAGGCATAGGTCAATTTCAAGCCATTCAAAAACTTGTTAGTTTTTGAGCGAAGGGGAATCTCTATGAATAGAGATGTAGTCAACAATACAAAATTTGAGTAGTTATAGAAAGATTTGAGCCAAAAAAGATTACAAGCAAAGTTTGTATAGAAAGATTTATAATCAAGATACTATCATATGAATTGAGTGAATATGCGAATGATAACAAGAAAAAAAAGAAAATAATGCTCAAGTTAATGACAGCGAACCCACAAAATAATTATTCTTGAAAAAAAAATTTATTTAGATTTGTTATTAAAAAAATCACCTTTTTAATCAATAATGATTGGATTAATTAAATTGTAAAAAACTTAATTTCCTATTTGTAGTGAGGATCTAGGAGCCACTTCCTCATGACATAAACCATTAATAAAAGCATTGACATATGAGTCAATTCTAAATTACTCAAAAACTTGTTAGTTTTAATTTGTAAAAGTAAAAAAAAAAAAATCATTGTATACTAGATATGATATGATATAAACAGCCACTAAAGGCATTGACACCTATGCACAAGGCATGGTCAATCCTAAAATAGATTGAATGACTTATCATTATTATTTTTATCAATAAAAAATCTTTGTGCACTAAGATGTTGTCACTATTATAAAACTTGAGTAGTCAAATAAGGATTTGAACCCATACAACAAAAATTAGAGATATAAGTCTCATCTAATTTATTTTTTTTACCATGACTTGTATCAACGTGCATTAGTTAAATAAAAGGCCAACTTTTTTTAACCAAAATAAATAAATAAATAACCAAATAGCATTTCATGAGAGAAACACTACATATATCCTGTATGATCCATCTAATTATGCATCTTATTGTAAAATTTATTTTTTTTAATAATAAGATTTGACATTTTATATTGATTTTGATATTGTTGTGTCAATGTCAATTGACTTTAATTCTACAGGCAAACAAACACACATTTGACATGATGTTTTTTCTCTAATGATATTTATAAATTATTTTTAATATAGTTTATTGAAATCAAAAAAAAATTTTAAATTTCATTAACACTGTTTTAAAATTTAATAAATTTTCACCCCTACATTTAACAAAGACAAAAAAAACTATTTTTAATATTTTTTTAACACTTAATAAAGATGAGAAAATAAAAATAAATAAATATCCTATAAATATGATCAAATTAATCTTCTCTCTCTACCATTATATAGCATTAGAGAAGTATTTGTTATTTTTAACAAAAATTAATATTCTCTCTCTATCATATAAATAGCATTAGAGAAGTATTTGTTATTTTTAACTCAAAACAAAACAATGTCATTTCAAGTTCACAAAGGGGAGAAAAGAAAAATCCAACCTAATTGGCGTGTTCAAATGTCTTAATTGAATCGATCAAATACTAATCCACTGGTTCACAAGTTGAACTAAGGATTGGATTTTAATACTATGATTTTTTTTTTTTTGGGTTATTGGGGACCAATCATTTCTGAAATCCTACGGCTAATTATTGCTCTCTGTCTCTCTCCATATATACATATGGGGGTAAATTAAGAGTGGTAAAATGAATAGAAGTGGATGTGCGGTGTAAATGAGGTGCTTGAAAAGGGGTGGCTGAATAAATAATAATAGAAAAGGGCAAATCTTCATTATGGCTGCAGCTAAGGCTTTTCCGAAAGTATCCAATTCCAATATGTGTATGTTTGAAAAATAAAAAATAATAATAAAAGAAATAATAATAATTAAGGAGATTCTTTTGTGTCCTATGGGGTTATTTAAACCACATATTTCACCTGAATTAATTGATGGCTTAGCTGTCCTGCTTCATTCTTAACCATATGTTTGGGTTCTTAATTTGTATCCTAGACTTGTGGTTACAGACTCGCTGGCCAACAAGTAAACTCTTAACTGTTAATATAAATGGAAATAGATGAGTCACAAAGCTTAAATAATTATTATTCTCTTTTAAATTGCGTGTGGAATACTTGGGAGTTTTTCCAGCCACATATCAAAACAAACAAAATCTCCTCATTTTACACTTGTTAATCATTTCATTTGTGTGTCAAATGTAATAAAGAAGGGAATAATAATTAATGCTGCACAGGAAAAAAATTAATAAAGAAATGGCATATATATGTATATATATTGTTCAATCTTAAAATATAAATTCCCTCATATTGCATTAGTTCCAGTTAGGATAGACATAATGATGGATATGTATGGGATATAATTAGTTTATTTTAAATATTTAAGATTATTTTATTATGATCATTTAAATAAAAATATTTAGAATATTTATTAGATTATTTAAGATTTAATTATATTTTTTATTAGTATCTTTCTTACGAATTATTTTTTATTTTATTTATTTTAATAAAATAAAATCTAGATAAATATATATTATCTTTGTTATCTTTTAAGATTTAATTATTTTAATATTTCTAGGACTTTAAAAATAATTTTAGAGTTTCTCAATTATATTAAAGTTAGTTTTACATGAATGGAATTGAACATTGAATTGTTTTCTTCTTTTGAGTTTCTCTTTTCTCTTTCATTTCCTCTTCTTTATTATCTTTATATTTATTTTCTCTCCTCTCCCCGTTTTACACCACATAAATACAAAATAGTGGATTTTTTTTCGTATGATCCCAATAAATGTCAGAGGTAAAACCCATGATTCATTATTATTTATCTCTCTTCTGATTTCATTTAAAATTATTTCAAGAGATTCATGTCAAAACAATAAGTGTAAAAAAAGAGGGCGGAAAAAAACAGAAAGAGAAGTGAATCAAACTTGTGTGAATACTTTCTAATCTCTATTGTTCCTTCTTACCATCGAGGGCAAAGATTATTTGATAGATATAATTTCACTTTGATTGGCCTTAATCCTTAATGGGTGCTATTTTTTTTTTTCATTGATGATAATCTTAATTAGAGAGTAAAGCTAACATGTTTGATTTGCCAAAAACTAAAAAAGTTGAAATACTTGAAGGCAAAAGGAAACAAAAAATAATAATATTGCACATAAAGAGATGTAAACAAGAAACATGCACAATAATATTTTCCTTTAAACTTAAATTCCTATAATTAGTAATTGAACTAAAAAATGAGAAGAGAAAAGAGGAGAGGGAAGCCAAATCCACCTACAAATATTAGCATTCTCACTTCACTTCAGAGGAAAAAGAAAACTTCACAAGATAACCTCTCATTGTTTAATTAAACTTGTGAATCAAATCAAACTAATTAACTTTAATTTCACTTGGATTCAAAGTTTTTTTACACTGATTAGTACTATATTCCCTCCTCTTAACAACATCAGAAAGTAAAGTTCTAAGCTTGATCCCATATAGCCCAGGCTTTACAGAATCAATATTAGCAAAAGACAACAACAATTCTTGATCATCATCATCATCATCTTTCGAAGAAGAAGAAGAATCCATGGTGTGATTATTACGATTGGTGGCTGGTTTTGAGCACCATTGTCCAAAAACAAGACCATTAGAACACATGTTAAGGATCATATCATCAACCTTCTCAAGAATCAAGTCATTCTCAGCAAAGGGACGAGCAAAGGCAGCGCCACTTTCCAATAGAGAATCATAGTGAGAGAGATCAAGGAACTGAGACTCAGAAGGGTCTATGTCCCAGAGAGAGAACATGAGGAAATTGTCTATGGATGTGTTTTGGAAATCTATGGAGTTACATAACAATGTGTGGAAGTAGGACTCTACAGGGTAGACCATGTTGGTGAAGAACATCAACAACTTCCTAGGTAAGTTGTCCCATCCACTCACACAATAATCCATGAAAGCTCTTGTAAATATCATCCATGGTGATCCTATATCATCATTACATTTCATGTTACATCACATATTGATATATTAACCAATATAGGAGAAACGAGACTTCAATTCAATAAATAAAAAGTAAATGCATTTTAAAGAATTTGTTAAAAGATAAATTATAAAAATCGATTCAGATGGTTGTAAATATAAGAATATATTATGTCAGTTGAAAAATCAAGAATTTAAAGTTTATAAGTCACTTTTGATTATTTAGAATTAAAGTTCTCATACTTGCAAGTGTTTGAATCATGAATGTTTACAATCCATATTCAAGCAATAATAATAATAATAAATATTTTTAAAATAATTCTAAAAAGATAAATTGCAAAAATTGATTCAAATTGTTGCAAACACCAGGTTCCGCGAGTTACAAATCAAGCATTTAAGTTTTATAGGTAATCACTTGCAATGATTTGTAATTGAGATTATTATATTTTCAAGTGTTTAAGTCAATGTTTAGTTGTTTACCATTCATATTCTAGCAAAAAAATTTTAGGATCTAATTACTAAATTAAATTTTAGGACCTAAGTGTCATTTCCCCTAATCAATATCACTATATATTGAATATAGAGTTACTCATAAGTCATAAGTTATTATTTGTGCAACTTATTTCAGATTCATACCATGTATGAATAATGTATTTAATTAACTGTATACTTTATTCATTAATTGAAATGTAAAAAATGAGTCACATTATTTAGTATGTAATTATAAATAATACGCCTTACTATAAATTTATACTGATATATGGATTCCTTAATTTTTGAGTCGTACATAGATAATCATGTCAATCTTCAAAACTTAATTATAAGTTATTCTTAATTTTAATTTTTGTTAAAATAATCCCTTTGTTATGCATGATTCTATTATTTCACTAACAAACCATGATATATATAAATTGGTGACACTATAATTTTACAATTTATTTTTGTACGACCCCTTAAATTTTTGATTATGTACAAATAATTTTCCTGAAATTTTGTCTTCTATAGATAAATTCCTCGAAGTTTTCCACCATATTAATAAAATTGCAAAATCATTAATGATCAATAAATTATTTACATAAATTTAAAAGTATAATTAAAAAGGTTTATTGTTACCTTTTTTTTTCAAAAAAATGACAAATAAATCCTATTGAAATAGGAAAATGATAAAAGAGCAATTTTTTTAAGTTTCTAAGGATTTATCTGACATAATTTTTTTTGTAAAATAATGTTTTTAACCCTCAGCAAAATAATTAAAAACATAGTTATTAAAACCTAAAATGAACTTGTTAATAGCGAAGATAAAATTGTTAATATAAAAAATGTAGTTATTAGTTTAATTATGCAATAACAAGTTTGCTACTTATCTTAATAAATTCAGTTAATGATTAATAACTTTAGTTAAGGTATTAATAATACGGCTGTCCATATCTTCATTTTTGTTATGCAATAATACCTACGTTTTATATATTAACAACTTTATCTTTATTATTTACAACTTCAATTTAGATTTTAACAGCTATGCTTTTTATTATTTTGTAGAGGATTGGGAATGTAATTTCACAAAAAAATTTAGGATAAGAAGTCCTTAGAAACTTTAGAATAATTTTCTCATTTTGTAGTACTCTTTTGTCATTTGCCTATTCTGAAGAGATTTATTTATCATTTTTCTTAAATTTTAAAAATCATAAAAATTATTTATAGAGATGCTGAATCCAAAATTTAAGAGAATGATTATTTTTTTTATTTGCGGTGTGAAACAAATAAATAACTGACCTCCAGATATATTGAAGGCATCAGGAGGATCTCGAGACTCGACCGCAAAGAAAAGATCAGTGCTGGTTTCATAATATAAACTGGGGTCCACAACTATTTGATTCAGATCAGTTTGCCTGCATCATCACAGCATATCTTTTCGTTATTTTATATATAGCCAATTAAATTCTATAATATACTTCAGAATAAATCTAATGCCTCTTCACTTATTTTTTTCCCCTGCCAACTTGATGGGTTAGTCACTTAGTTGAGCATTTTATGATCAAGATGATATCATATACATGATTTGAGTGAATATGTGAATGATTACAAGCAAAAAGAAAATAGTGTTTATTTTAATGATAAAGAATCAAAAATAATAATTATCCTTGAAAAAAAACAATTTTTCTTTTGATTTGTTACTAAAAATTCACCTTTTTGATCAGTAATAATTGAGTTATATTATAAATAACTTAATTTGAGGACCAGAAATCCACAACCTCCTAATATAAACTATTATTAAAGGCCTTGACACCTATTTATGCACAAAGCACAAGTTAATCCCAAATTACTCCTTAGTTTTTTAGTAGAAAAAAAGATGTCGCCAATATAAAACTTGAATGAATATGTGAATGATTACAAGCAAAAAAGAAAGTAGTGTTTATTTTAATGATAACAAACCATAAGTAATAAATATTCTTGAGAAACATTTTTTATTTCAATTTGTTACTAAAAAATCATTGGATTAAATTGCAAGAGACTTAACCTATAATCACTTATTTGTAGTGAGGATCAATGATCCACGTCCTCATGACATAGACATAAACATAGACCGCTATCAAAGACCTTGAGACTTATGTATTAGGCATAGGTTAATTTCAAGTCACTCAAAGACTTGTTAGTTTTTGAGCGAAGAGGAATTTTCATACAAAGAGATATAGTTAACAACATAAAATTTGAGTACTCATAGAAAGATTTGAACCAAAAAAGATTACAAGCAAAGTTTGTAGAGAAGGATTTATAATTAAGATAATATCATATGAATTAAGTGAATATGTGAATGATAACAAACAAAAAAGAAAGTAATGCTCAAGTTAATGATAATAATGAACCCACAAAATAATTATTCTTGGAAAACAAATTTTTCTTTTGATTTGTTATTAAAAAAAATCACCTCTTTAATCAATCATGATTGGATTAATTAAATTGTAAAAAACTTAACTTCCTATTTGTGGTGAGCATCTAGAATCCACTTCCTCATGACATAGACCATTAATAAAAGCATTGACATCTTTTGTTCCAAAAAAAAAAAGCATTGACATCTATGTAATAGGCATGAGTCAATTCTAAGTTACTCAAAAACTTTAGTTTTAATTTGTAAAAATAAAAAAATCATTGTATATTAAATGTGACATAGATGGCCATTAAAGGCCTTGACACTTATGCACAAGGTAAGGTCAATCTTAAAACACAGTCAATGACTTATTATTATTATTTTTATCAATAAGAAATCTTTATGCACAAAGATGCTATCATTAGTATAAAACATGAGTGGTCAAAGAAGGATTTGAACCCATATAATATAAATAAGATATATAAGTCTTATTTAATTTTTTTACCATGACTTGTATCAACTTGCATTAATTAAATAAAAGGCCAACTTCTTTTACCAAAATAAATAAATAAATAAAAGACCTCCTTTTAATAGCATTTCATGAGAGAAACACTACATAAATCCTGTAGGGTCCAGCTAATTATGCATCTTATTGTAACATTTATTTATTTTATAAGAAGATTTGATATTTGATATTGATTTTGATATCGTTGTTGTGTCAATGTCAATTGCCTTTAAGTCCACAGGTAAACAAACACACAGTTTGGGAGTTGAAGGCACTTATTACATCAATGAAATAGATGGGCTATTTTGATTGGAGGAAAATATTTATGGACTAAATTGACAGAATATCTTTGAAATATCAAATTGAAAGGATGGCAAAAAACCAAATCGAAAGAAAGAAAGTATTTTTTTTTTTTGATATTTTATGAATTAAATTGAGAAGAAATTTTTTTCTAAAAGATTAAATTAACAGCCAAGTATATATTACATTAGAAACTAAATAATTTATGGAGTAAAAACCATAAATAAAAATAAATTTAAATTATACATTACTCTCCTAAACTTCGAATCATATACATACAACCTCCTTAACCTTTGAAACTTTACAATTAAGCTTCCTTAACTTTTATATTTATGCAAATAATTCTATATAATTACTTTTATATACATTAATTATTTATACATGACTTAAAGTTTAGAGAATTATCCATATATTAATCAAAGTTTGGAGATTTAAATGCACACAAAATAAAGTTTAAAGGAGTATATAATTAATAATTAGGAATTATTTACATAAACTTGAGAGTTCAAAGAATTTTTTTATTAAATTTTACAAGTTCGGGGAGATTATTCGTACATGGTCCAAAGTTTAGGGGAGTTATATGTAATTTATCCTAAAAATAAAGCAAGAAGACATTTTTGATTTAAGAAATAATTAGGATTAATTGCAATAAAATAATAAATAAGAAAAATAACAATCAAGTAAGATTATTAGGTTTTTTTTTTGCAAAGATTATTAGGTTTTTATTTCCATCAACACATGACATGTGAACACAAATTTTGAAACATCTAATCATATGTGATGAGTTGTGGGCAATAATTTTAACTTGTCATGCATTTTTTTTTTCATTGAGGATTATGTTGAACCCTTAGAAATTAATATTATTTTTCAAAAAAATAACTTGAATATTCTGAAATGAAGATGTATGTGAAGTACTTTAAATGAAGCGATAACCACATAGAATAAGATTTTGTATGAGATTTAATTTTTCTTCTTTTCTTCAAATATTATATGTTAATTAGTTTAAATAATCTATTTTTTTCTCTAAATTAAATTCAGATATCTGGTGAACTTTTATATAACTTGTTTAACACACCAACCTAATAAAGAAACATCAAACATGTGACTACGATACAAAAGCACATTAAAAAAAATGTTGTATGTGCATGTTTATAATTTAATATTAGCTTTATCTAATCATATTTCGGACATTAGTCTTATTAATGTTTTCGAACAAACTTATGGTATTATGTACTCTAATCCAAATTTGAGTATTACTGAGTCCCAACTCTCAAATGGGTATAGCTTTCCTGATATAATTTTTATTCCCCCTAAATTTTTTTACACTTAATCCTAATGCTTCATTGGCCGGTTGCCCGGTTTGCTCAATTGTTAATTTAATTTTCTCAAATAGATTGGTCGATCAAATTTTTTAAAACCATATTCCTGTTCTTAATATAAAATAAAGTGAAGCACCTACATGTTCATTAAGAAAAGTTAGTTACATCTTTAAAATTGTGAAAGAAAAAAAATTAAGTCTTTTCAATTTTATCATTCTTTACAATTAATAATCATAATAAATTGTGATCTTAAAATTCAAATCATAATAAATAAACAAGGGACAAAATTAAAAAATAAAAGTAATTACTCTAACCTTGCTTTATACTCTCTTTGTTAAAAAATATAAGATATTTTTTTTATTTTAGATGTTAAAAAATACAACACATTTGAAATTTTTCAATGTATAATTAATTTTTTTTTCAAAAATATCCTAATAAATAAATCATTCAATTATTCTCTTTTAAATGAGGCACCCTGTTAAATAAGGACAAACATGAAAAATGGATAGTAATTTAAAAATAATTAACTAACTTTTTGGGGTATAATTCAATTAAAATTGTTTTATACTCCCCCTCCTAAAACAAAGAACACTTTTATACAAAATTATATATATATATATATATATATATCAATAAATTTCATTAAAAATACTTTACAACATTATTTTTAAATAAAAATATAAAATTTTAAAAATATCCTTCATTTAATACTTCACTTGTTAAAGAACATTAAAGATCAAGAATATTATGAGAAGGGTAATATTCAAAAAGCATTATTAATGAAACATTATTTTATCAAAGTATCTTATATTTTGATATGAATCCTACTTAAAAGTATTTTATAATTTAAAATAAGGGACGTATTTTTGTTTTAACAAAGGGAGTATTAAGAAGGAAAAAACTTCCAAAATTTGCCTTATACTCTTTTTGTCCCAAATTGTAAGACATTTTTAAACAAAATCTCACATGCCAATAAATTTTATTAAATATATTTAACAATTTTATTTTTAAAAAAATAACATATAAATTTTTAAAAACAGTCATCATTTAATATATTAAAAAGAGAGAGAGCGAAATTAAATGCAAAGAAAAAGAGTAATATCAAAATAAGCTCATTAATTGAACTTTAATTATCTGAGATTTTTTTATATTTTAAGATGTCGAATATTTTTTAAAAATATTTTATAATTTAAAAAGAAAAAGTATTAATTAAGACAAGATGGAGTATGTCATCAACCACATTGTTCATAGATTATAATTAAAAGCATTTATGAGTTGGCAAATAGGTAAAGTGAGGCCATCTACTGAAAGGGTGAAAAGACTAAATCGATTGGCAATCTCAACCACTATAAATAATTGATAATGATATGTTTTAAGTGAAACATCAATAACTTAAGCACATGATTATGGGAAGAAACCTGACCTTAATTTAATAATTACTTACTCTTTCCGGATTGTCTTGTTTGTGAAATGAATGAAGTTCAGATCTTCTGGTAAGAAAGTAAAAGCATGCAACAGATCTGCATAATATAATAATAAAATTAATTAAAGCATATTTTAGTTTAATTGATAGGGTCACAATCAAAGTTCATTAACTCAATAGAATTAGAGAACTTGTGCTCCAAGGTTCATATATAGATCTTAATTTACATAAGTGAGGAGGAATATCAACAATTACGGCCGGCATGAAAAAGGTGATTTTTTGTGGATGGGAAATATTTTGTGTCCTTAAATTAAAAAATAATAAAAATAGCAATAGCAATGATAGCAAAAATATAATAAATATTATATATCTTGTGCCTTGTGCTACAATATGATTAGAATAATTCCTCTATATTATTTATAGATTACTTTTAATATTTTTATCAGATTCAAGAAAAACTTAAAATTCATTAATTATGTCTATTTTTTAAAAAAAAATTCCCTATCTTGCCAATTTCAAATAACATCCTCAAAAAAAATTATTACTTTCCTACATTAACATTGGACAGAGGTAAATGAAAAAAATTGTAATAAATAAACATTATAATACCTTATAAAAAGGATTTAAAAAAAAACCTTCAATAATCAATATAATTCTTACTGTTGAAACAATTATCATGTTAGAACTTCAATACAATATTCATTATTTCTTGAACATTTTTCCCTTCAATAATGACAATAATAATTAATGAAAAGTATCTTCTAGAAATAATAAATAAGGATAACTTGTAAACTACAATCACATTTTATTTACAATACCCTCTTCATTAAAAAATGTAAGGCATTTTTAATGAAATTTCTTTTCAATAAAATAGTTACTTATCTTTAAACTAACTTTATTTTTCATATTTACCCATATTTAATAATGTGTTTCACTCTAAAATAAATAAAAAATAATTTATTCAATAAGGGTACCTTTAAAAAAAATGTAATGATTACACTTTAAAATACTAAAAATACTTTATATTTTTTTAACAGAGAGAGTACATGTTATTTATCACTTTCTTAACCCATATGTATAACTCTAAAGTGACTATTATTTCAAAATGGAGGGAGTATCCCCTTAGGTGAAGCATGTCTTTTTTCTTTTTCCATGATAAATAAATAAATTGACATAAGTAAATTATTATACCCCTTTGCCAGTAATTGTCTCTTCTTATTACATTTTTTTTTTATCTAAGACAAAAAAAATCATTTTATACCTACAAAATCACTTTTTTTCCAGTTCTGTTTCTCGTTATTTCCTTTAGTATACCCCTTTACCGGTAATTCTCTTCTTATTACATTTTTTTATCTAGGACAAAAAAAAAATCATTTTATACCTACAAAATAACTCTTTTTTCAGTTCTGTTTCTCTTGTCATTCCTTCCATTCCATGTGCCAAAAGGAACTCTCAGATCTCAATATAACTTCCCAAACTAGAAAGAAACCAATCTACTAATGTTCCTAACAATCAATTTCTTATGAACTTGTAAATAAACCAAACATTTGAACAAAAAAATAAAAAGTGCAATTCATAATCTCAAGAATATTAATCATACTTACCATCCTGAGTCATGAGAGGATAATCTGAAGCAGTTAAAGTGATGAACCAGTCCCAATCTGCATTGAGTTTCAGAAGCAAAGCAGCAGCATGAAGAACAGCAGAAAGACCTGAAGATCCCATCCTATTAATGGCATAACTCTTGCCAATCACATCAACATTCCCAAATGCCTCAAACACATTCAAGGATTGAACCATTTGAGCCAAATCCAATCTCTCAGAATCAGAAGAAGCATCATCAAGCTGAAGCAAGTAGTGGTTTCTTGGATGATATATTGCCTTCAAAAGCCTCATCATCTTCTTTCCCTCTCCTTTAGTCCCACAAATCCAATATGCAAGAACTGGTGGATACCCTTTTCCTTTTGATACCAGCATCGATCTCTTTGAATTGTAGTGCTTCAATTTGTTGACTGTGACAGAAGAAGCTTTTGGGATATTGAATCTTGAAACTGTTGTGATCAGAAGAATACTCACAGCAATACTGAGAAGACAGAAAGTGTAATTCAATCCCCTGCATGGGAATTTGATTGTTCTCATTGAAGTGGGATTTTTTTCCCCCTTCTTTCTGGGGATTTCAAGTAAGGTTGAAAGATTCAGAAGTAGAGATTATGAGTTGTGGATGAATGATTCAAGTTTAAGGGATTGAAGACAAGTAAGGTGAAAAATCAGTGTGAAGAAGGTTTAGATTGAGAGAGAGAGAATGAGAGGCTTGGGGATGTGGAAACTTGTACCAAACGTTTGAAAACTTGAACTTCAAGCTACCAAAAAGTGTCAGAGCTTTTTCTTTTTTCTTCTTTCTTTTTGAGAACAAGAAGCATGGATTCATTCATTGGGGAGCAAAAGGTTAAAACTAACAATCAATTAAAAAAAAAAAAAAGGGAGGGAGTCTCAATGGTCAAATTCATTTAATGTGAACCTTTTGGGCCACTTGGGTCTGTATACAATTTCCGTAAAGAAAAAATGTCTGACGCTCTTTAAAGTTTCATATGGTTGCAAATCAAGCCCTTCACTTTGTCATATTTATAGTAGAAGTCCAAGTTTCTGGTTTTTTTCTAAAATTTTCGGTATCTCTCCACTTACAAGCTAGAGTTTGGTTTTTTTAAAATAAGATAAGGTGTCATTGTCATTTTATGTTTTTTTTTTTTTATATAACTATCTGATTGAGTTAGATTTAAACATTGTTGGGTCTAATTTGAAGTAGCTCTATTCTATTTTCATAATATAATTCGAAAGGGACGCAGGGTTGCAAGGAGATCAGTGAACAGAAGTATGAAGATCTAATGCATTTCATCACACAGCAAGCATCATAATTACATTTATTGACCAAAAAAAAGCATTATAATTAAATGAAACTCATTAAGAACTTTGGATGACACCTTCTATACCAACACCAGCATAAAAATTAAGAAAATAACAGTTAGGTCCTAAAATATTAAATTAAAACATTCTTAATAAAAATTTTAAAAAAAATAACTTAAAAATATTGATAAAAAAATTATAAATTTAAGAGTTTCAATTACAAATAAGTATTTAAATATCAAATATAATTCTTAAATTATAAGAAAAATTTTTATTCATAACTATTTGAATAAATATTTACATTTCATTTTTTAAAAAAAGTTTATCAAGGACGTAACCATCATTCTTCTAAAAAGTTATAGTCCTGCTTATTTCTTTTACTTTATAGGTTCTTCCACTTTCACTCCTGTATTATGTGAAGTCTAAGAAATAAATCGTGCAGTTTGTGATTTATGAATACTACACAGTTTTTTATTTTTCCAAGTTGTTTCATATCATATTGATATTGATAATCCTTATCCTTTCTACACAGCTGACCAAAACACTTAATTTTTGAGTTGGCATGCCCCTTCTGGCAAACCTTTTATATACTAAACAAGGCTATTATTGACCAATCATATTGTTCAATTCTATTTGGATAGTATATCGGTATTTACAAGACATCAAAGCTAAACAGGTATCAAAAAAAGGGAGGGGGGAAAAAGGAATAATGTTCATGCTGCATATTTGTATTAGATACATAGCAAGATTTTAAACTGCACAAAGTATGTATGATTTCATTATATCATGAAATTAAAGTTAGCATCCAAAGTTTCATTCAGAATGTAAATCGTTGGTAAAAATAGAAGTAGTTTACTAACAAATATTAATTTGGTAAAAATTTAACTCATAAGTTACAAGATCGTAGGTTCAAATCTCACCATTAATGTGAAAATTTTATTGATGAGCAATATATAAATAATACTGTAAATACTTAAATATGAAAATATGCCCTGCCTTTAATGATTTTTTAAAACCTAATTCACCTAAATTTTTTTATGTTAAAAAAATGGTAATTCTAAAACAAAGAATATCACTTTTAAACCACCCCACACAAAACATCTATAAACTCAGAAAGTCTCATAAAATCATAAAATTATTTTGAAAATTGAAATCTCGTGTCTTTATTGAAGTCTTGTTGAATAGTTGTTAATGAAGTTATTCTATTAGAAACTGAGTAATAATAATTAACAAATATTTAATAATAATTGACAATTTTAGTAAAGCAACATGGAACTTCAAAGTAATTGTAATTTCACAAAACTTTTTTGTATTTAAATTGCTTGTGTGAAACCTAAAGTAATTTTCCCTTCAAAATAAACCACATTTTCAGCTTTTGTTGACCAGATTTACATCGAAGAGTAAATTGAAACTCTTTTGAACCTGTCATGTCAAACTTCGATCATATAAAAATTCGATCGTTTAGATAAGCTAACAACGAATTCACTTTTCAATAATTTAATCATTACATAACAATCATGCATACCTAACCCGAATATATATCTGCTACCCACCAATTCAAATGGACACAAGAAAGAGTCCAGATTCAAAAAATTCTTATATTAACATTGATATTTCCTTGGGATAAACATCATTAAACTAAAATATAAGGAAAAAGTACAATGACCCTTTTCAAAACGATTCGGTGGATATACTAGTAATGAATTGTAATGAACGGAGAATACAAGAATAAATAAACATTATAAGGCTAAAGAATAAGTGCTTCACTTCCTTTTGTTAGGAGAGAGCATAATGCTAAAGAGCTAGAAACATAAAACGACAAGGAATGATGATGATGGCGTGTCAAAGTGAAAAAATATTCCATGATCAATCAGATATGATCAAGAGCTGAATTTCAATTTTGTTCTCCACATTTCTCCAATGACCTTTTTAGGAGAGGGATCATCAGGGCCCTTGTCTCGCTGTCCTGAAGTGAAGTATAACCATCCATTCCAAAATCCAACTAAAGTGGTTTTCACACGGTAAGGTAATTTCCCAATCACTGACCACTTCTGCAAAACAGATAAAACAATGCAATTAAACAAAAACTAACAACATAGAATGATGTTTTCCCACTTGCAATTAGATTCTAAGGTGGTTGTCTCGATCTGCAGAATACAAACCTAGGACGAGTACACGGTATCCTGAAATTATATTAAAACAAAATAGGTGCTGTATTTAAGTACACCCCAATATAATTAAACAAAAGCTGACAACAGAGTATGATGGTCTCCCACTTGCAATAAGATTCTAAACTTCTTGTCTCTATCTGCAGAATACAAACCTAGGACAAGCACAGGTATCCTAAAATTAAAACAAACTGCTGTAATAAGTGCACCCCAGTATAATAACATAAACTGGCAGATAACAGTTAATTTGGGAAACAACTTCACGCAAAGAAAAATATAGGCTTCCAGCTGGCAGACTATTTTTTTAGGAGGTAAAACATCCAAAATTTTCATTTATTGTGTGGACTCATCATTGTTCTAACAATCGGAATCCTCTAATGTGGTATGGACACCAGCAGGGAATGCAATCTGTGCTTCTAAGGGTATTTTTAGGGGAATGAAAAAAATAATTGTACAAAAAGAAAATTACACTCCTAAAAGTTTAACTGTATACAGTTAAAATCTTTACAGTGTAATTTTTTTTCGGTTAAGACTTTCATCCTCACAGTTACAATTTTTCTCTCCACAATTAATGTATTTAATCCCCTCAAAACACCTAAAAATACTGACCACACCCACTGTAGTCTTCAAGGAAAAAAATCATGGCACAAAAAGAAAGCAGAAAGAGTTTTCTTGGCTGGTCCCAATAGTCAGGCTCTACCAAAAATTACTAAAATGGGCAAGTGCGCAGATGAAGGAATATATGCATTGATAATAAAATATGAATATACATGCAGACACTAAATAGATTTCCAATGTGCTTTATAAGAGTTAAGTCAATACCAGAGTATTCAAATTAAACTGCATTACTTCTCCATTTAAAACCATCTTTTTGGTTATAGGATGCTTCTCTGTCGTGCCTCCAACAATAACTATAGAATTGTTTACAACCACCCAAGCAAATTCAATATGTGAGTTTGGTTTTGGCATGGGAGGCAGCACTTTCCACTTCATCTCATCATCCAGCATGTAAACATCAGTGTAAACCACCTAAGACACCAATAGAAAATGAATCAAAGTGCCAAACCATAGGAATGGTGGCAACAGGGTTAATTGCAATTTATAATAACTGAAAATTACGAGGTCAATCATGTATAGTATTGATTCCATTTTGAGAAGAGGAAAAAACAAACCAATGCATGCATTGGGTTTACCGAATTATCACCGTAAGACCAATTAGGGGGGAAACAAGAATTTACCCACACCTTACCTCCGGCCTGCGTGAACACTTGAAAATAGGTGAGCCAGGTTTGGCCATAAAATCACCTTCTTGACCACCAATAACATAAAGACGATCATCAACCACGACACAAGCCCTAAAAGAAGAGGAGAGCAAGGTACTAAAAACTTGTAGATGATATATGCATATTGCATTGGCATATTATTATGTCAACAAACCTAGACAACTAGTTCGACTAAAAAGAAAGTTGGCCCAAAAAAAAAAAAAAATAGACTCAAGAAATGTCTGCTGTTTCAAAATTCCAAATTTTATACCCCACCTATCTCTTGAAAGAATATAAAAATTTTGACTCCTTAATGCTATATACATTTGACTGCACCTTAGGGTATACAAGTCAGATGAACCATTTAACATTATGAGTAAAAGGATATAAAATGACAATACAAGTAAAATTGGGAGTACAGAATTTGTTGGATAATTTAAAAATCACAGGCAAGTATAGCAATGAAGTTCTGCTAATTGTAAGGTTGATTCATGATCTCCAAGGCTGCCTCAGAGGCCAAGATGATCCAAAATCATTAAGATGTAGCAGTTCTACAAGATTATAATAAATAATGTGTGATCAGGAAAAATCATAAAGAAAAAAGTAAAATACTAGTGCTACTTATCAGTTTGAGAAACAAACGTTGTAATTTATAAGTTTCAATTTATACATTTTATATCAACTATAATAAAAAAGAATACTATTAATATCTTATGTTTATACAATCTGCTGAACAAATCATATTTCCATCAAATTTTTAAGAGACAATTCATGAACCTGTGAGGTCCACCGCGGGGAATGGGTATCTCAGTTCTCCACTCCTTCTCCAGTGGTTTGCCATCCTTTACAGCAAGACTCCAGTGCTCTAATCCAGGTGTATGTCGATTCTCCTTGCTGCCACCCATGACATGTAGTCTGCCCCTCCAAAGTTGAGTTGCTGGTGCATATCTGAACATTGCATAGTTAAAACTTCCATCCAACAAATGACACAAGGAAGTAAAAGGTATGTTGGGAAATCTTCCCATATCTCACCCAAATCTTCAAGAACTTAATTCATGATCTCTTAGGATTAAAGTCAACTTCTTGTTGTTGGGGTTTAATCCCATGTTATTGCCTTGTATTGCTATTTTTCTATCCTAACTCTTGTTCAATTTTCGGTTAATGCATGAAATCAGAGCCTGCTGACTGATATTTCTACAAATTACATACATGATTTGCTACGAACTGAAAAAGTTAGACCACTGAACCACGGCTAATGTAGTGATAACCTTTTAATAGGTTTCTCTATTTAAACTCATAAACTATCTATACCCAAGGATCCAGTTTATTACTAATAAAAATTCTAATATGTGTATGATTTTAAGATATCAAGATTTGGAATCCTTTCTTCTCCCCTAAGGGTTAACCAATGGAGTGCTTGTCAGAGAACCTAAACCACCCCCTGGGGAAACATAACACCAAACCTTTTGTGACAGAACAGCAGAGACATTAAAAAGCATAATAAAACTATAAAAGCGTACACTTAGTTCAGAGATATTATATTTTAGGGGACAAATTCAAAGCATTTAAATTTCCATGGAAGATCAAAAAAAATTATTGCAGCATATCAGATGCATATGTACCAGATAATGCATACCTAGGGACTGGTAGAGGGGGCAGATCCTGCCATTGCTTTGTTTCAGTGTCAAGCACAAATGTATGAGCGGTAGGCCCCCGGCACTGTGGGCCATACTGACCAGTTACTATATAAATGTATCTTCCATCAGTTACCATTCCTAAATGTGAATGTGCCATCTCTTTAGGCATGTCAAATCTTCCTCCCCAAGTATTATCAGTAAAATTATATATATCAACATGTGAATGTACCTTAAAATATGCCAAATGGAAACGTTCAGATGTCTATGTCAATGAACTAAACAACATAATTAGGTTATACCAACTATAAGAAGTCTAATAAGTGGTTATCTAGTCGTCTCAAATTGAAACACATGAAGGCTTTAGTGGAAGGTTTGTATGATTCCATTAGTTTGGATGGCACTAAGGTCTAAACTCTCAAGATGAATAAAAAGAATTCAGACTCAAAAGGTCTGAAAATGGTTCTTACATAGTCAATCGTGCCATACCCAGCAAAAACATAAAGAAGATTTTTAATTTGTATTGCTGCTCCATCAAGACGTGGCACAGGTGCAGTTGCCCTTTTTTCCCATTTTAATTCTGGAGCAGGCAAATCAGCATAAGCTGCTGCTAGAACTCTTCCAGAGGCAGCATCCTTCTCAACTTTAACATGTTTTCCCTGTAAAAAACACCATGATATCAATAACTTATAAATTTTAATAAGATAGCTAGTAAATTTTCTTCACTTAAACCATCCATAACTTCAGGTTTAGTCGAGTTAACCAATACACAAAAGAAATTTACAACTGTTGTCTACTTAACCAGAAATTCTAGGCCAATTCTTCAATACAAAACAAACATTAGGTTATTTTCTCATGAACGATAAACTAAATTCAATAGCAATAAGCTGAACACAGCAGTGTGCAAAGATATGCTGATTGGTTTCAGTTAGTTTAAAATGATCCATAAATGCTAGTTGCATCAACCTGCCGAAGATTGTAGCTTTTCAGACATCTCAAGAATGGGCCAGACAAGGATATTGCTAATGCCTATGCTCATATTATTAGCGTTCTTTCATTCTCTTTACGCAAGAAACAGAGCAATTCTAATTCATCACAATCGTTCAAAAGCAATGGAGATTCCTGATACGAGTTTATCCATTCATATTTCCTGGAAAAGAAATCCGATTAGAACTAGAAATCGGTGAATTCGCCAGCATCAACCAGAAATCTTAAAAGAGATTTGAAGACAGAGAAAAAAAAAATATCATACCAACTCGTTCTGTTTTTGTTTATTAATGGCGTCGTGGGACACAACTATTTTGGGGGAGGAAGAATCTTGAGAGGTCCAATTAGACGCCAATGTAGAGGAAGAAGCCCAGAGAAAGTCAGCGACAAGAGCGAATCCTAAAAGGCAGATGCATATCACAACCAACTTGGCCGAACCAAGCTTCGCCGATGGCCTGACCATTTCATATGGAAGATAAAGCCCTCACTGAGATTGCAAATCCTAAAATTGCTCTTTGAACAGAATTTGAATCGAAGCTCGCCTGCTCCAAAGATCTGAGCTAAAGCGAGACTTCACCTTCACCGATATAGATCTTTTATTTATATAGTAAATTTTTTAAATTATCTCTCGTAATTTTATTATTTATAATCATAAAAAATAATTAATAAAAAATTAATTAACACAATTAAGAAAAAATACTGCAGTCAAATTTCTTTATTTTCAAATACAATTAATATAGTTAATTAATTTTTTAAAATTGTACAATACAATTTTTTTTTATAAATAAAAATGGAGAGAGTATATAAGAATATATACTCTTCCTGTTTAAAAATATAAGATATTTTAATTAAATCTCACATCCTAATAAAATAATTACTTATGTTCAAACTAACATTATCTTTTCATACTTACCTCTATTTACATCCTAAATAAATATAAAGTGATTTATTCAAAAAAGGACACTTTTGAAAAAAGATAATGATTATATCTTAAAAGATTAAAAATATTTTATATTTTTTAACATCCAATCCTATAAAAAATACTTTATATTTTTTAATGAAGGAAGTATGTACATAAACACACACGCAGAAAATAAAAAATTGATGTGTACAGTGATATAACAGCAATTAGGAATCTACATTTATTATTATTATTGATATTGATAATTATTGAAGAAAAGTAATTTATTTAATTTAATTTTTGTACTTTTATTTTCTTTGCAAAATTATTTTTAGAATAAATTTAGAAAAAAACAAGGAATAAAAACTTGGTTGAGTGAGTTGCTTTGAAAATCACATTTAAGAACCAAAAAAGAATGATGGGAAAGAATCAACATCAAAATTACTATACAAAAGTTGTAAAATGCATTCAATTGTTCAGCTATTGATGGAATTTGATTAGATACGCTTGAATTTTACAATCCTCTTATTGCTTGGATTCATTTAGACTATAGTATATCTTGTGCCTTATGGCTCAACCAATGCACCTTTTTCCAACTACTCTTATTAATGACAATCTTGAAATTGTTGCCCTTCTAATTGGCTTTCATCCTTTTCAAATTTTTTCAACTTGTAACTCTTCATTTTATTCGTCTGAGGTGTCCCATTTTTCATCTGCATTGCCATCCATCTCTCTCTCTCTCTCTGTGTTCGGGTATCCCCTTCCCAAATGTATACAATTTACTACACTTTTACGGATCATTATAGCCGTACTTTTGTTGTTTTCTTCAATAGAACTGTAGTAGAACTTTTAAAAGAGGCAGCTCAAAGCATGATTAATCAAGTGTGCATGTTTCTATGCATCTATTATATCTTTTGCACATTTATTAACCAAACTATATAATTACTAAAATCATGTTTGTAGAATACAAGGGTTGGATCATTCCTAAGGAAATTGAGTAGCCTTGTTGGGAGAGAAATGGTATTGAGAATCAAGGTTTCTGAGTACAATATCTGTCAAAGAAACTCTTCTTTAAGTGTATCCCAATACAGTCAAGACCTTGAGATATTAAAAAAATTTACATACTCCCATGGACAAGTAGATGGATCTTACAAAAATTCAGTTATCTAATTGGTTAATTAATTATGTGATTACTCATCTATACATTTTTTAATAATTGTTTATTTTTTCTTCCATGTCTGTCATTCTTTGCTATTATATAATCTCCCCTTATGGCTAGTATTGCTATATCTAAAATACTTATACATTATTAGATTTGTAAATAACCATTTTAGTTTTTCTTTCCTCATTTTTATTTTCAAATGTCACATGTCATCATTCAAAGATTCTATTACTCTATTATTTTTTAAAATCTTATATGTTCTGTCATGTAGGGAACTCCTTCTACATTCTCTGAGAGTGAAATCAATTTCTCAACTCCCAGTGAGTCTTCTGGATCGAAATGCGACATGAAACACTCCAAGGTTGTGGATAATGTCAAACTTGCTACGCCTGAGGCTTTATTAGCTACTAACATTGATAGCAAAAAAAGAACAAACATCATTATAAGTGATTATGAAAAAACTATGGTTGGCTTAGGAGATATGTGTACCCCAACATTCAATACATCTAAGAATTCAAGAATAATCAAGAAGGAGAAGTAAAGGGAGATTGCCATGCTTTTTTAGGATTAACTTGCATTAAGTTTGAATTAGAATTAACTTGAACTATGTCTTTTCTTCTTTTGAATTCCATTTTGCCACTTTTGGTTTATCAATTAAGTTCTATATCTACAGTGATCATCCGCAGATTATTGTCTCAAGGTGTAGCGTAATTTTTTCTTATCAAGTTATCGATTAAAGTACTTCATCTTTTGGTTTTATGTGTTATGTGTTTTAATGTCTTGCCTAAGGAAGAATTAAATTGGTAACTATAAAAATGAGACAACTTCGTACACAGCCTTCATATAAACATCAAGACAATAGAGCTTACCAGCATGGATTTTTAACAATGTAATATTAAGAAAGACTAATAAATTGAGTGGATGCATATTCCAGCATTAAGAATCATTGAGTGGTAATAGCATCAAGTTAACTCATCACTGAATAGAAAAAAGCCATGCTCTTTTTTATGATAGCCTTTTGTAAATTGAAAACTATCTCTTAACTCTCATCTTCCTACACTTTAAGACATCCCTGTCAAATCCAAATTCTCGTCTTGAAGTATCAGTCAAGCTATGCTTAAAAATGCTTATTCTGATATGGTTAGTATGAATTTAATTCCAAGTATTATCTGTCATATTGCTACAAATCTGTCATATTATGCCAAATAGAAATTAGCATCCTCTTACTTAAGTAAAGCAGTGCTTAAAAATATTATGTAGTAATGATTATAGTAAAATAAGCTAATAACTCTATATGTCATGTAAGGGAAAAGTTTACAAGATGATATGACATAAACATAATAAACACAACTTGTCAGGAACACATAGAAATTGAAAACCATTAATACTATTTTTAAATCTTCTCTTTCAAAAAATTGAATTAAAGCCTCAACATGTTTCCAACGTGTAATCAATAATCAACCCTTTCTAAATAGTTGAATCTTTAGCTCTGGTTCCAGCAATTTCTGAATCCCTTTTGTCATTCTTTCACTATGTTTAATTTGATTCACAAAGCTAAGACTTGTAATGTTTATGTATTTCAGTCGAGATTGAATACTTCTTAGCTCAACATCAATAACATCTGTGAAAAAGTGAGAATTTTAGTATCCTCATTCAATTAAGGTTAAGCTTCAGGGAGATATGAAGGATTTCAAAGGTACACTTTACATTTTACTTTTTCTATATTTTGAAAACATTCTTCACAATACTTGTCTCTCTAATTTTGTACTCTGTAGGTCCCCATCCAATTGAATCTCTCATTAATATAAAGAAAGTTGCAAGATTAAACAAAGAATTAAACAACCACAATATGTTACATTTAAAGAAAAGATGACATTAAAAGAAGCAAACAAAAGTCAATTCAAGAGAGATAGCCAGTATCAAGTGATTTAGTCAATTTCTATACAGCAACAGTCATGCATCATAAGAAATTTGGTTAATGATACTAACAATAGTACAATCTTTTTCCTAAACCCTTTCATCAAAACAATATAGATAAGGAACTGAAGATTTCCTTCATCGATTTGAAATTGTTATATTAGTATAACTTCAATCAAGTCATTGCTTAACATTAAAAAAGCTGCAAGATCGATCATGTCAGGAACACATTCTTTTAAAAGGGCAGTACATTACCAGACAAATGAAACTCCATCCGTTTGTGGTCAAAAGGATACATGCATACCAATAAATCCATTAAGTGACATCACAAATGGTATATAATTATTTCATATAATATTTTTTGTGTACTTATCATATGTCCTAATAACTCTTATTGTTTTTCTATATGTAGAACAGTTTTACACTTGTTTCTATCCAATTTGAACAAAACTCAAGTGGTCTTAAAAAAAGATCAAGTCAAAAAAAAAGATCAACTTAGTAGAAAAAGATGGAGAAAGCTCTAACGGTATAGCTATTTAACATATGAAAACGTACTTTTAAATTTAGTTCATAATTAGTAGTAATTTTTTTATGTATTGGTAACAGTATTGCCTATTCTGCTAATAAAAGAAATCAACTCACGGAACTTCATTAAATTTCAAGTGCTTCATTTAAACTTGCAAAAGTCAAAAGAAATGCATCTAATGATGTCTCAAATGGTTATATATTTGATACATATAGCCACAAAGTATGCTTTAAAATATAGTTCATAATTAAGTCTACTTTTTGTTTCAATTGTTGGGAAAAGCATTGGCTATTCTACCTAATCTATGGAATTTTATCAAAACTCAAATGGTTCATTTAAAGCTGCAAAAAACAAAAGAAAGGCACTTAAGGATATCTCATATGGTTAAGTTTGATACCTCTTTCCACAAAATGGTCAATTTGCCAAATATTAAAATTTCTCAACAGTAATGTAACTCCTACAATGGAAGCTTCAAATAACCAGAACACCATACCTGATTCATTTTTAATTATTGGTGGAGCAGAGTATTTTAAGAATTTCAAGAAAAAACTAGGGCTAGAAAATATTTCTCACCTCAAAGGAAACCTTCACAGATTTCATGGTAAAATTTTGCATGTTTATCATATGTAAAATGTTAACTATATTTAAGTTGGAATTTATTTTATTAATCATACAGAAAGCATGATAAATGAATGCCAAGATGGAGCTGTGTTTGAGACATCTATCCTGGAAGATCCTTTCTTTAACCCAGACACAACTATAAGGTTATCACTAGGTGCTCAACTTAATCAAAATAAAATTTATTTTGTCTCCCTTAATTTCTTTAAATACATTTATCATTCATGTTAATATATTTGTGAACAAAATGCAAACTACTTGGATGAAGGAGATCCTATATTTAGTTTTTTTTTATGCAAAAATGTGGGAGACAGAAAAACTAAAACGATCAAATGGACCTCATGAGCATTCTTTTACAATATGCTGTTGTTATGGGAAAGTTTTAGTCCCAAACATTGAGAGATGTCCAAATTTTTTATATGATTTATTCTTTAATAAGTCATCCTAAGCCTTAAAGAATTTTC